AAAGAAACAATTAGCAACTGTATCTGCTGTACGGCACAATCTCAGGGACCCAGTGAACTGTTAAATAATGAGGATGTGGTCAATCAAATTATTGCAATCTTTTTAAAAGAAAAAGTAACTGATTTTCTAGTGGCCAAATTAAGATGCAAATTTAATTAATGGTGTTGTGTATTAATATGGCATTCTCTCCATCATTTGTTGCCATGTACAAAAGGCCAGTATCAATTGTTCAGGTTACATATTTCTGAGCATTTGTTTTTGCTCATATCGGAGTTAATTGTGATACCACTAGAAGTTTTAATGAACCTACATTTATAACTCATTTGGCCTTATCCTCTGGCTAATAATTCTCTTTCGTGTAATTTTGTATTTATTTGAGTTTGACTCGTTGATCTTCAAATCAATTTGTCTTGTGACCAGAATGTATTGGATATGTTAGAAGGAATGAAATAGTTTGGACTGATATAAGCTGGTGTATTTTTATTTCGAAACTCAATAAATATTCTCTTTTTATGGTTGTGTAAAAGTCAATGTGTTTTGGATAAGTGACAGCCAATTCTCTGAGATTTCTTTTTTTTTTTTTTTTTTTCAATTCTTAATCACTTTGAGAAAGCATGCTGAGAGTATCCTAATTAGCTGATTACAAATCACTATGATGTCAAATTTTTCTTTTGTCATTCTGTTCTTATAGTTCCAGAAACCTTACATCATCATTCTATATCTCTCTTTCCTTGCAATACTTTGTCAAAGCTTGTTGTTCTTGTTGCTGCATGTGCCTAAATTTGAGAATGTTTTAGTGTCCTGATTTTGTTTCAAAACCTCATTTAAAAAGAAATCAGCCACCGAACAAAGCCAATGTGTGTACAAACTTTCTTTACTCAATATACTTTAATAAAATATATTTTCAAAGTGCCCTAGAGGTGCGCTTGATGGATGCTGTAAATACATAAAATGAGGCTGTGACTGTGTGCTGAATGAGTGTTGTGTGCAAGTGAATTAGTGTGTGTATGTGTGTTAGTTACTGAGCTGCGCTCTCTTTTTATGTCTGCACACGAGTGTCAGTCCATCGCGGGCAGCACCACCAACTTCCGTAATAAAATACTGTCAAATATTCAGGATTTTTGTTTTCTGCTTCCCACACCCATCTCACCCATCTCATAACTCACAAACACTTAACATCCAATCAAAATTATGTTTGGGCAACCAAATCAGATATTCTTGATTAGTATACAATTTGAATACAAAATCTGGAGGGTTGGGAGATGGATCTGATCTGAGAACAAGCACCCGTGTCCTTAATAAGGGGTGGCTCTTTCATAAGCCGTACCCAACTCTTTTCTTTGATTGAGATACGCGGCCACCTTAGTCAAGTTTCTTTCTGCTCGTTTCTGCGCTGTGGTTTGAAATCTCCGCGTAAAACGCGCCGCAACGTTAGTCGTTTGTCTTTCTGCTGTCTGCTTTGGTGCGCCATCTGACGGCGTTGTACTGAAACAAAAGCGAATGGCGCCAATTCCCGCGCTTTTCGTGCAGTCCTCATCCTCAATACGCATCATGGACGTACGGAAAACATTGTCAGATCAATTTGAAGAATACGGTGTGGACATCAGTGCACCAGTGTTGGACAGATGTATGTATCTAACGTCATTAATGCCTTGTTTAGGCTGACCTATAAGTGTGTGTGCTAACAACCAAAGATATCTTTGAAACAAGTTCTATCAGTGTCGAGGCGCCCGCCAAAAGAATCTGATTTCTCCTCTCTCAATAATTTACGATCGCTGTTTATAAGTCAATCATCATGAATTCTTTATCGACATCATTGTTTGGAATTCGACAAATATCTCATCGTCAGCTAAGATTTCTTTCAGTCCGTTATGTGTAAGAATGTACACAGCCTAACCTCACCCGTACCCGGTCGTATTTAATCCTCATTTTGCTTTATTAACTGACTTAAAGAATGTCGAGGACCGAAGTATTACTTTCACAACCCCAGTACACCTCTTATTGGTTGAAATGCTATGAAGTGACTCAAATGAAGTGTCATGGGAGCAGATGTGGAATAATTCTTTCAATTTGAGGTATCATTTTGTTTAAGGCCACGACATTTGCCTTCAGTATGCAGTGGATGCAGAGGAGTTGGTGGAATCATGGATGGCTTTCAGTGTGTCAAACAACCTCCATGAAGTCACCTTGGATACCCTTGCTCAGATGGAGAGGAAAGAGTTTGCTAAACGTAATTCCAAAGATGTGCCAACTCCCAAAGGTTTATCAAAGCAAAACCCGAAATCAAGCAGCGTTGTTGTTTACAATGCTAGTAAAGATCCAGGACTGTATCCTTGAGCTATGTGTATTACATTCCTTACTTACATTTTCATCTATAAACTTTGCCTTGACTCAAGTATCAGAGAGGACAACATCTTAAGCGCCTATTGTACCACTCCAAAGGTAAGCATAGAATTTCAATTACATGGATATCGATTCTGAAGTAACTAAGCATGTTTATTTTAAATATAGCTGCTTTTGTTGAGCATATTGATAGTAGTGCTTGGCATGTAGTGGCTGGCTGGGAAATTCTATTTTTCCATTTCTTTCCTATGCTTTCCCTCTTTATCCCCAAAATATTTTTGTGCTGCCTTTTTCATTCCAAACCTTGTACATTTTGGATAGGAAGTTTGATAAAATGTGTCAATGCTGTGATGTACAATTTTTTAAAATCTGTGTACATTCAGGTGGCACTCGTATTCAAACAATTGGTAGTACTGGTTGGTCATTGAAAACAGCCACATCGTTAATATCATTAAAGCTCTCAGAAAATTGTTAATATCTAGTCATCTGTCTGAGCTAAAGACATGTGTTTGTTTAGAGTGAAAATTCATTGTCTTTGTTATTCTACAGATAGACCTGATAGACTTTACCTCTCCTGGGATTATTTTTACATTTAACCAGGTAGGGAATTAATTGTGCATTAAGTCATTCGGTAGTTCTTGCTAGGTTTTGTCTTGCACATTTCCCATTCATTTTCAAATTTAGTTTGCTGTGTTTTTGCCACATTCCTGTAGTTCCTACGGTTTATGATACTACTTTTGTTTCCCATTAACTAAAATAAAGTCTGCACTTCCACCTTTAGAGGCCTTCCACTGGTACAGTCTTGTAACTATTTTCTTCCAAATCAGTAGTCTTCCAGACAGTGTTCTGGTGAAGTGATAGGGAAGGGGGACGCAGCCAGTTAGCCCAAGTTGGATCGGTTTGCTGCCCCGATGTGGCTGATGCTGATGGCTGTACTCTCCGTCCGTCCGTCTGTCTGCCATGTATCTGTGCGTCCGTCTGTCTCTGTGCCTCTCAGAATCTCAAGGCCAAAGTCGCTTGGCACGGCGCGGGTCGCGGCAGGGCAGGGACCTGGCGGCTGGCGGGCAGTCAGAGCAGCCGGACGAGAGCAGCACAACTCGCAGCCAGTCCCTGCTCGAAGGGCGTATCCTGAGAAGGCGAGGACTCTTCGCGGCACGGAGGTCCCTAGGGGCCCCGGGCCCGCGCGGCTTTACGCGAGGCGGGCGTTACTTTGAACCGACTGTGAACGCGTCACGGCGAGCTTCACGTCATGCTTGCTGCCAGCGCGGCCGGGAGGCATCCGACCGGCGAGCCGGGCCGTGGCGAGCCGGCGGCGGCCGAGCCGAGCAAATGGCCTTGCTTTGCGTGTCTCGGCTGGGCCGAGCCGAGCCGGTTCTTTGGGCACCCAGTCCCAGAGCGAGCGACCCGACCGGCCCCGGCGCGACCGGCTGCCCGCCCGGCCCGGCTGCCCGGCTTCAGTCAGTTTCCAAGGAAGTTCCGAGCCGCGCACACTGCTCGACACACCACGCTCGGCGCCTTTCCGACGCGTCTGTTCCTTGTTCTTGGGGCGCGTCGCCCTCAGTTCCGCCCCGCGAGTGTTTCTGCCGTGGTGAATGTGTGTTTGGCCACGTAACGGCGCCGCGGCGCCTGGCTGCAGCCGGTCTGGCGCCGAGCCCTCCCCGCCGCGCTGGCCGCGCTTCACAGCGACCTGTTGCTCACGTGCCGCCCAAGCGGTGTGCAGCGGCGCGCGGCGGCCGTGTGACAAGCAACAAGCGGGAATGGCCGTGCCTGTACCCGGCCGCGGCCCGCGCCCTCGCCGCGGCCGCAGAGGATGCAGATTGCTGGTGAAAGGTGCGTTGTTTTGGCGCTGGTCGCGGCGCCCCCCGCGTCCTCCGAGCGGTGTGGTAGAGGCTGGTGGCTTGGCTTGGGGCTCGGATGGCTTGGCTTGGGGTGGGTCTGGTGCGTTGCGTGGCTGAGTGAGTCCGGGACGCCGCCGAGGACCCTCCTTCTCCGCCTCCCAGAGTATGCCCCCCCC